ATCAACAACATCATACATATCAAATAAATTATGTTCCATTTTATTGGCTTGTGCTAATAAAAAGTCAATTTCACCTGTATCACCATTCAATGTAATACCAATTACTTTTGCAAAAGCTGTTTGTTCAAAAAATCTCCTCCTACATAAATGTCCTTAGTCGAAATATCCATGGGATATTGTCCTGAACGGTATGTTCCTGTTGAAAAATGTCCCTAGGATAAAAATGTCCTTTCGATGAAATATGCCCAATAGATGGTGAGCATATTAATCATCTAATTAGATTTATTATATCGCATTGAATTTTACTTTATTTCTCATGTGCAACATTTCTTTTCTTTTGTTCCTGTTCTATTCACTATTAATAGTAAGCGAAATGAATCCTTTATAACAAAAATCAAATACCTGACCAACTGTAGTTGTTTCACAGCGTGCCCTAGATAAAATGCACAGAAGTGAGAAATGCATAAAAGGTTGATGGCTTTATAACAGTTGTGAATATCCTTGGTGTAAGATCGCTTTGCTGTTAGTGACTCTCAGGATGTAGCGATGATCAGTTCGGCTCTGTTTGACGCACAGAGGATTGGGGCTCAGCCATTCCGCCTCATTCACAGAATATTAGATTGGCTCTAATAACGAACTGATCTTAGCGATAATATCTACGGATATATATTCTCTGAAAGTCCAAGCGTGAATGTTTTCTTCACATAAAGCAAACGTTACCTTATCGGTAATATTCACACGCGAACCATAAAACAGCAATCGCTCTCACTTTTATTTTTTTTATTTTGAGATTAAATTCCAGTTATATGTCGGACTGTAATTGAGAAATACATGAGAGAATCTAGAGAAGTCTAAGATTGAAGCTGTATTAGAACTACCAATCAAAATTTTTCTAAAGTTCAAACACCGTTAGCATAATTCCCATGACGAGTAAAGAAGAATTCGAGAAAGCAAGAGCGTGTGTACAAATAAAATACCGTATACTTATTGCCGTATACTTATTTTAAACTCAACCTCGAAGCGAGTCTGAGGTGAATGATTCACCTTGATTGCATTATGTTCCCGAAGAGAAAACCGGGTAAAACATAGTGAAATCGGTTTCTTAACTATCTTAAGAAACAAACTAAAGAATAGAAACCAGTAGTAAGTATGAAAAAAAGATTTTGGAGAATAAATCTGACCAACTGCAGTTGGTTATCACAGCGTGCCCTAGATTTGAATAAGTAATACACGCCAAACGACGATTGTCATAAAGGACATTTTTACATGAAGGACCATTTCTAAAGGACATTTTGACCAAGGACATTTATTCTACAGGACATCTTTCCAAGGACTAAATACTCGGGACATTTTGTTCGAGGACAAAATTGCGGGGACATTTTGCAAAAGACATTTTCGGAAGGACATTCTTGCCTGTATTCCATACAGCATATAAAAAAATCAATACAATGGCACAAACTATAAAAATTAGTAATATATATCGTAACCGTGTTTTACAAAAACTTCGTGTTTTAAGAAAGTGATTAGACAGTAGCTATCGATTCTGGCAATAATGTTAAAGTTAAGTAACCGTGACTAGGATCTTGTATTTGTACACTTTGCACATGTGTTACATCGTGATTTAAAGCAACAATCACCATTTGATTGGTTGGAGTTTGAAACTAACGACTTTTAAGGGCTCAACAAAAGAACTTTTTTCTTCTTTCAATACTTTCACTTCAATGCGTCTAGAATCGTGTCAGGCCCGCCGAGATAGACTTCGAAATAAAATTTCAGGCTGATTGTAAACTTTTCAAGAAAACACACGAATGAATTCGTTGTGAAACGCGTAGATAGATTTGGGGTGTGTGGATAACAATCGTGATTCCGGAATGTCCTTATTTAAGGATCTCAACAAGGAGGTGCCAGAAAATTTTATGTTCTCACGTCCACTTTTGTCGTCTTTCATTTACATCGTCGAAATAGGGGTGGACCATGCCACTTAGCAAACAGTTACTTATCTAGTAACAGTAAGTACTTTCTGGTACCGTAACCTGATAACTGTACCTATTACCAAGTAACTGGACCAGTTCCCAGTTACTTTGTAACGGGTGCAGTTACGATTTATCGTTAACTGTTAACTGTAACAGTTACTTGGTAAAGTAGCGGTACCTTCTCACCTCCAAGTTGGAAATCGTGAAGAGACGCTCGGAACAGCCACTGTTTCTAACGTTTTCATGCGTTCTAGAAAATGCCAGACTACCGGTAATCCGTGAAAATCTTCCGTGGATCTGGTCGGCTTCGATCGAATCCGATGGTCAGAACGAATGACCTGAGTATTGATGCTGATGCCTATTGTTGAGAAAACGATTTATTATTAGATCGAGGAGAATTCCATGTTTCTTTTATTTGTTATATTAATCACTGTTCGGGATTTTAGAGGGCTAAGGTATTGTTATATATTGCAGAAAACGCAAGACCACTTTTTGGTCCATCACGGAAATGGTTGCAGCTTCCGCTCGCTCGTTTTGCTTGTTCTAACAAATCAGCACACTTTTCTGGATTGAACATCATGACGTTTTGGACAATTGTCGGTTTTAATCCGCGTAATAAATGCAGGACTTTTTCATTTTCACTCATATCTGGATTAAATCTTGTACATAAAGATAGTACATCATAATAATATGATTGAACTGATTCGTTCAATCCTTGACGTCGATTCACTAATTTATTTGATATTTTGAGCTGCTGTGAGGCTGATGTAAATACCTTAATCAATTGTTGTTTGAATCCATCATAGTTATTATCAAATATACCACTTTGATACCATTTCTTAGCATCATCCAGAAAATACATTGGTAATAATTTTCGACGATCCTCCGATCTTACACTAGCAGCTTCAAACATTTGTTCAATATCTTGTAACCATATAATTGGATCTTGTTCATCTGCACCTGTGAACGATTCTGGAGATTGCACTCCTTTTAATAATATTTGACTTGATAAATTTATTGCCATTTTTAATTGTTCCCGCTGTTGTCTTTTCTTTTCTAATTTTTGCTGGTAATTAGCCCAATTCGTTTGCGCTTGCTGTTCGGTTGTACTCTTTGTGTTTACCAGGATTGGGAATTTCAACGAATCTAATAATACCTGTACCAATCGGATTATTGTGATGTTGAATTGGCAATAATATGGCTAGTGCACCAATGTTATATAGTAAAACTATCTTGATTAATTTTCTAACTTGTTCACTTTATTCCGTAACAAATTACTATCTCTTACATTCACAAAAATACAGCTATATATACATATCACCGAAAATCCGAGAAAGGATTAGAAAAGGATCTAATGACGTCAGAAGAACTGGTCAGAACATGACATCATTAGGTCATGACATACAAAGAAGAATAGGAAAGAATATGTCATTTACTACTGACCGGACTAATGACGTCAGTAGAACAGGACATAAAATGACGTCATGACGTCAGAAGAATAAGAAAGAAGAATAAACATATGATCTCCATACGTCATCATATCATAACATGTGATGTGAACAAAATCGAATACAGTAAAGTATCTCGCGTAAGAAAAGAACTATTACTTAACACCTCCTAACAAAGGAATGAAATGAGTTGCTGAAAACGTCCATTTTGGCACTTGGAACTTGAATGAAATTAGTAACATTAGTCGACTCAGCGTGGACGTATACACCGAGCAGGTGAAGAAAAATCAACATATTGTGTATAACCAGCAAATATGTTCCTGAAAAGGTACTTTAATATACCATGATCATAATGGAATAATTTGCTTTCGCGTTCTACACCGACCTCTTCGCGTCTTGGATTCAAGCGGCAAAATTTCGGCGAATATTTGATCACTGTGGAAACAATAATGATCAATTGATATGTGCCTACTTTGCATGGGAAAAAAGCAAGTATTTACTCATGTTTCAATGGTATTAATCAAGCGTACATCAGTATTTGATACAGTAATATTATTATGTGCATATAATTATTCGTTGAATTTGAGATATGGTCATCACTGCCTAGAAAATAACATAACGACTCGCTGCATATTGTCGCTCTTAAAAAACGAAAATGTCTAGACTACAGTAGTATTTTGGTACCTGTCAAAAATCTTGTAGATTATGAAGAAAACGATCAATGATTTTCAAAAAGCAGGGTCGTGATAGTAACATTTGTGAATGATCAGTCAACAATTTATTTAAGTCAGGGTCCACCAGACAATCACCTAACTGCTCCTGTCCCCAATTTTTAATTTCACTTTTCTGGTATCATTCGATAGAGCTTGATCTGAAAAGTTTCAGGTAAAATATTAGACCTCTTGATTTAGGTTTTTTGAGGGTTATGGATTGAACACGGACAATTGAGGATGAGGTTTGAGAGTGACGAGAAGATCCTCACTCTCACCCTCAAAAATCAACTTTTCACGCGAGTGGTTTCAAGAGGTCCTACTGGGACAAATTGAAATCGAACAGCGCAAAATAAAACATTTTCCCATTATTTGTGTCGAAAACGATTTCTTGTTGGACATGCGCTATCATACCATAATATGCAAAATATGTCGAAAAGTTAGATTCATTATTTTCTCATCAAACTCCGACCAGACTTTAATCTCTATTAGATAAGCATCTACAAAAAATTTCGAATTCAAAGACCATGGGCTGCTTGAGATAGCGCTGTCTTCTGTTTGTTCATTTCATTGGCGGTCAGTGGTAGATTAGCTGAAAATTCTGTTCTGCTAGTTGTCCTGTTGACCGATAGAGAACCACATCGTTTGGTTCATATAAATCTTCATATACTAATCGATAGCGCTTTGGAAACACTACTGAACCGTATATTTTTTCAAACTCCGAAAATACTGGTTACTTAAGAACTCCCTAGAAGACTATTTTGTACCTTTTTGACTAGTGTTCAACAGATTTCGACGAGAAAAATACGGTATGAATCAAAACTAATAACATATCTGAAATCAGCAGCAAAAACTGTGTAGACTTATAAGTGTTTCAAGCTTTTTTTTACGAACCGTTTTTATCGTCGAAAAAATTCATCTGTGGTCCATTCCCCTCAGGGTCTTAGTCAAAAAATAGTTTAACTGCAACTTTTTTTATCGGAGCAGTCTCAGCCGCTATTTTTTCTAGATTTGAGATCAGAGCACTTCACTTGACAAACCCATATAGTTTTCGTTGAAATCCCAAGGACACACCTGGAGACCTTCCCTCGTGAGACAGAGTGCTCTTTCTTTGCATATAGTTAAACCCAAAATCGAAGATAGTTCTCCGGCTGGCTTTGTCGGTATTCTCACGGATCCTCTCTTAAATGTACATAGATGCCGTCCAATCTAATTTTTGCTCACATCGATATCTAGCACTATCTCGCCTTTCTTTATTTTGAGGGTGACGCACAAATCCTCTTTTCTCAATATTTGCTTTTATTTGGGCCAGACAGAAATGACTCGATGAGTTCCGCCATTAGCATTGGACAAGGTAAGGTGTGCACTTCCTATATAGAACGAGTCGTACGCGGAGAGCAAATAAAAGGTGATTGGCGCATATATTTTATTTTCGTTCTTTTGCGCAGAAAGACGATGTGATTGCACATAGGAATATGGGTAATTGCTTCCTTTTTCGCCAAAAAAGTCCGACTAGCAACTGCATATACATGTATATATTGGTATGGTGAAAAAATACCATCAGCCCATTCAAAACGACAAGGTGTGAGTAAAAATCTCTCATTCACTGTACGCTCTTGAAAGCTACGGTATAAAGCTGGCCCTTAGCCTTGTATCTTACAATCAATTTAACGATCACATTTTTCAATAACAAAATAATTGCAATGAAAACCATCTGGTGTTTGTTGGTATTGTTGCTGATAGCTATCTTTCCTGGCACTTCAAAAGCCTGGGATTGTTACGAAACATGGAGTCGATGTACAGGCTGGTCCTCGCCTGCAACGGGTATTCTTTGGCAAAACTGTCAATCGTACTGCCAAGGCTGCAAGAATGCGGCAGCTGGGAGCTGTGTCCGAGTAGACACCATAACATGCTTTGGAAAGCAACTTGTAGCCTTTCAATGTCAATGCACAGGACGATGGACTGGTTCTAACAAACCAACATGCTTTCCCGGCGGACTCGGCTAATAAATAGATCTAAAAAATTATGAAGAGTGCAGTGCGTTCAGAAAATACGGGCATATAAATAAGAAGATGGCACTGCGATGCTAGAAACCTTCTTGAATACTTAGCTTAAATAACAGCAACGTTTCTGATGGATGGGCATTATTAGGCGTTAGGTACTGATTAGAAGGTAATAGTATGAGGCGAGTTGTCCTGACGTTTCTACAAATGCTCAATCAGTTTCATCAGATGAAGAACAAGATATATCAGTCGATGAGTCATCAGATGAGAAACTCAAAACAATTGTTGGTATCATACCTGTGCTCGATGACAAATGTCGTTTCTTTATACGCAAAGATCATTCGAATTTTTATGAAAAAGATTTTGAATTTATCGAAAAATTTGATGAAGGTCTTCATAACGGGTAGGACAAAAGCTTTGCATTAATTTTGTTTTTGGTATAGCTTTGCAATGGAATATCGTAGAGACTTCATTCATTTTTTTGTTAGAAAGAGCAAAGTGTCTAGTACAAAAATATATAAAAGAATTTGATCGGAAATCTTTTCAGAAGACCACGAACATCTTATAATAAAAGACATCGAAAAACTCTTCCGCAACTTTGGTCACAATCATTGCCATTAACCACTTTTGATGTTTTCGAGCATCATATATATAAAGTTGTGCATTAGAACGAAGCCTTTTGTATGATATTAACAAAATTGATCTAGCATACAAGAGACTCAACAGCAGACAGTTTTATTAAAAAACTCAATTTGGGGAATTTGACGCTTACAACGCGAAAGTAACTTTGTGTCTGAATATCTCAGAGAGAAGTTGTGTCATATTACAAATAGTGATGAAAAATCTGTGATATCAGAAGGTGTATAAAAGCGTTCATTTCGACCGTTATAAAACATGTAGAAAATGTATTTTTTGGTACAACAATAGTGCTCTATCTTCACATTATTAATCCGGAAATAAACGAATAAAAACATAACCGTGCTTATTGGGTGAAGCTTTTTCTACATTCGAAAAAGTTGCGAACTAGTTTTCCGATGTCTTGTGTTCTCAGATTTATGTGGCCTTGGGGAAACATTTCCGATCAAATTCTTTTATATATTTTTGTACTAGACATTTTGCTCTTTCTAACAAAAAAAAGAATGAAGTCTCTACGATATTCCATTGCAATGCTATACCAAAAACAAAATGAATGCAAAACGTTTGCCCCACCCGTTATTTCTGAGGTATCATGATATATTTATAAATATAATATTTACTCAAAAGCATTCCCAAATGTTCTTGATTAACCACAAAAAAACTGTGTGCTGCTGGCTTGATTGCTATATTGAAGATCAGTGTCATTTCTGAAATATTTCAAATAATATTCGTAAATACTTAGGTCGTCAGGAAAGTTCTTAGAATCTCCAATAAAAAAGAAAAAGAATGTATATGTTTAAATGTTTATTTTATTAAATGTTCAAAATAATCTCCGTTATTATTTATGCAAAGTTGCATTCGT